GGGTTTCGATACCCGTGGTGGGCAGAGCACAGATAGCCCATTGTGTAGCTTTGTGCTTAATTACAAACAAAACAAAACCTCTCTTCTAAACATTTTTTTCAATCAGTCAACACAGAAAGTCCCGTTTTTGGTGAAATTCCCTCACAAAAAAAAACATTTTATTTTTATTTTTTCTCAGATTGACCATTGATCACATACGAAGACTGATAGATCGATGTTGATATCGATAAGAAATTTTAAGAATAGAAAAAATATGAATAATTTTCCTGTAATGTGTATACTTTATATATAATGTATATACAGAGCGTGATAGACAAACAATTGGTTATTATATGTGTTCAAATGAAGTATATTTTCATTGAAGTGGTGGACTGAATGCAAGTCCAGTTATTATGTTCCGGGCATCTTGCAAAGATTAAATTGGATTTTGAAAAAGGTGGAACTTCTTTTTGTGATTTACTTTAACATTCCAGTGAGAAAACCAGAAATTTTAATGACTTGAATCTTCAAAAAGCGGAACATCTTTCCGCCTCAATTTATTCCTTCTATCTTGGTATCCATTTTCAGGGCAACAACTTTCTATAGCTATTCATTCGTTTGGGCTCTTTTCATTTTATTTGCTTTTTGCAACTTTACTGTATGTTAACTAAAACATTTTGGTGGTTTAGAGACGTATGGTCAGTTTGTAAAGTAGAAAAAAAATCTTAAAAAAGACGTAAAATGTCCGTTACATTTCAAATGAAGTTATAAACAATGCAGATGTATAGAAATAAAAATAAAAGAGCATATTTTTTAGTGTCTATCGTAATGCTTATTACAAGAGAAATAGGGACATTGTTTTTACCTAGATTTATCATATTAACAAAGAAGTGATTATAAGTACTCTGGAATCTCAGTGTGATTTGTGAACGTAAATAAAATGTCTGGCCTGGTATGGCCTGCTTGTTAAGGCGCTCGATTCGCAATTTGCAGGTCACTGGACATACTTGCCTTTTCAATCATGGGGCTTTATAATGCGACGATCAATTCCACTATTCATTGGTAAAGAGTAGCCCGAGAGTTGGGAATAGGTGGTGTTGACTAGCTGTCTTACCTCATGTCTATCACTGCTAAATTAGGGACGGCTTGCGCGATAAATCTCGAGTAGCTTTGCGCAAAATTCAAACAAACAAATCAACAAAAATGAATGTCTACTGAAGAATTTACGTACTGAACCTGACGAACTTTTGTAAAGAGAAAAGAAATACAATCTAAAGTGATATGACAGTTAGCTTTTAGAAGCTGGGCTTTGAGTTTTGCTTTCCCATGATATTTCATGATTTTTTAGTGGGCTAAGGTCGTATATAGCCCACTTTATTAAGGTTTCCACTCTTGTCTTAACCATTTGCAATTAAAAATTAACACTTAATTAACCATCTTCTGAGCTAACCGAACCTCGTGATATATTGATAGGATTATGGCAGAAAATATTACTAATAACGAGAGTACCTAAAATATGAATCCAAGCATTCAGATCATTTGTTAGGTTTTCTTCTATAAAGTTGAATACAGCTATTTGGAACGTTATATTAATTTAACTATATTATTTATTATTAGGTTATGTTTTAATTATGATCTATGTAGGTATGTTTCTTTGATCAGAAGCTAATGATATTAACAGGGTATAAAATGTCGCCGAAGGTTAAGAGTTGTATTTAGTCAGAAGGTAATAAATATCTACATGATAGTTTACTTAAATATTTCTAACCCAGATTGTAATCTGCAGTTGGAAGAGGTTAGTTGCTTCACACCTTATTGCCACAAGGAGGCTACTGTAATAAATTGTCGTATAGAAGAAAATTCTCTAACTCCTGATAAAACAAATAAATATATCACGTTAACTCTTCATTGAAACACTGAAAGTGAGAAACTTCCTTTAAATAACTTTTCCCTTAACTTTAGTTATCTATTCGACACTAGTTAAAGAATTCACTAACTCGGAATATTTGTATCTATGTGCGAATACGAAAATGCAAGTTATAACGGATTTTTATTTACCCTTGAGCGACACTGGGGGTGACTAGTAAAGACCTTAAATCAGTGAGTTAGCTCTTAAATAGTTGTTAGTTATTCAAAATTGCTTAAACATTTTCCTCTTTTATACTAAGTCTCATTGTTAATATGCTAAATGTCATCTGATCAGCACCAGAAGAGTTAATAAGTGCATTATTTGGTAATGTTCACTGAAACTTTCTGAAGTTTTTGGTCCGATTCTGCACATCAGAATAACGACTGAACAAACCGTAAAAGCCTTAAGGTTCAGAAAGAAGAGAAGAGCTAAAGAATCATAAGCTGTTGTACATTTTTCTCTGTAGGTCGAGAAAATTCCTTTGATAATAACAAGTTTGACATAATGTATGAACCTTAAGGGGATTGACAGTACACAATTTTGATCCGTCTATCATTTAAGGCTTATCATTTACAAGTAAACTGTTAAACAAAAAAATATACTAGTTTTTTTTTAATGGAATTTTATTTCAAGTTTCTATCACTGTGTATTATCGATGGTAACGCACATTTGATTTAAATGACTTCGGTATGAACAGGATATCATTCTTGAAATACTTCCAATAAATAAACATATCCGATAACAAAGTTTTAAGCCACGGGTTGTACGTGAAAAAATATGACAGTAATGGATTTTTTCTTGTGACTAATGGCTGTTGAATGAACAGAGTCTTTGTGCTCCCGTATATGTGATTAATCATACACGGTAATTTACGCTATCTAAACAGCGGCTGTAAACCATCATTACTTATATAAACATTTTCAAAAGCTTTTGTTTTCCGTTGTATTAATTCTAAATAAACTTTTATATATATTCTTTTCATATAATTTATAAATAAAATTACAGGATAGAACACACATAAGAAAAATAACTGCTTTTCTAGCTAACTCCAAGATTTGATCTTTTTATGATGATCACCAAACATGCTCGCCCTTTCAGCCTTGAGGGCGTTATAATATGACGGTCAAGCCCACTATTCATTTGTAAAAGAGTAGTCCAAGAGTTGACGGTGGGGTTGATGACTAGCTGCCTTCCCTCTAGTCTTTTACTGATAAATTAGAGACGGCTAGCGCAAATAGCCCTCATTCAAACCAAACCAATCTTTTTATGATGATATAAATAACTCCAAAAGAATGAAGATATTTTTCGGCTTGACCTGAGATATTTACATCTCTTTGTATTCAGTGATCTTCTCCCTTAACTATTCAGCCTCAGCAAACATCATTATGTAGTCCTTAAAATAGCAATTTCATCATTATTCTGTACGTACCTATGAACTGGAAAGGAACTAGTTTCCAGTAGAGGGTATCTCGTATGTAGTTGCAGCGTACCTTGGATGTTGGTATACATTAATAAGGGAGTTAATCTCTAAAAGAAGATCTCATTTGTGGTTGGGTTGTTGAGTTTCGGTAATCTAGATGTCAATTCGTTTTTTGAGGCTACTCAGAAAAATGTATAAAGTTGGCTTTGAAGTTACAGAATACTGATGAGTATTAACTTTCCGTTTCTTGTTAATATGCACGCCCCCCAGTGGCACAGCGGTATGTCTGCGAACTTACAACGCTAGAAACCGGGTTTCGATCGTGGTGGGCAGAGCACATATTGCCCATTGTGAAGCTTTGTGCTTAACTTAAACGAACAAACAATCAATATGTATGAATAGTACATCTAATTGATACATTTTACAGCTAAGTAAATGAAAGATATTAAAAGTAAAGCTTACAGATGGACCTGGAGAAATACATACTCCTCTAAGTACGCTTGGAGAACCACGCAACATGACTGGACGTTTGACATTTCAAGTCAAATGACATTAAAAGTAGTTAGATACCGTGTCATTATATACACGATTAATATAACTAATACAATTTAGCTTATAAGTGGATTATTTAGATATCTTTGTTGAGAGACTATTCGTGTGAAACCTCTTATTTCATATTAAAGTCAAGAGTTGAGTTATTGATTTACTCTCGATGTGGCTTCTCAATTACCGTAAAAGCTCTGATATTATACGTAAAAAGATATTTTAAACTATTCCTCGTGATTTTTCGCACAACTGTATGTTCTCTGAACCTCTTTAGAGAGCATAGATTTGTTAGTAAGCTTTTTCAAACGGTGAACAAGAGGATTCGGGGTTCGCTGCCCGTTGACACAAAAAACACGCACTGCACTTTTGGTCATGGGTGAGGTATAAGAGTGAAGGTCCAATCTTACTATTCCATTACATAACAATAGCTCAAGAGCTAGCGGTGGGTACTGAGATCAGCTGCCTTTCAACTAGGCTAAAATTAGGGACGGCTGTATCTTGATACCCACCCTTTTATGTGGCGATCAAGATAATTTAGGCATTTCTCTGTTCTAAGCTAATGTAACATTTGTTGACTAACAATGAAACACAACATATATATATATATATATATATATGTATAACGGCTTACTGACATAATTCGTGGTAAAATTAATGTAATTGACTGTTTGTCCAGATGTATAGATGAAATAAAAAATCCAGCTCACATCACTTAGAAAATCTGTCAATGAATGCTAAATACTATGTTGGCTTTCAAGGTTTCAGAAATGTGTAAATTTTTTATAGAAAGGTAGCTCATTTTTCTTTTTTTTAATTTATAAGAAGGAAGATGATTATGCTCTGTTTTAAAAATATGTTAATCATTGTTTTTGGTTAGGTTTATTTTGTGTAATTTTTTAAAGTACTCTCATCCAAATTGAAAATATATGTACTTGTTATTTTTCAGGAAGAAATTGGAAAAACCTTTGATAATCTCAAGAAGTGCGAAAACAATTCGGTTGAAAAAGAAGCTTTCAATGTCAGAGCAAATGAAAACAGTACCCTCTGCAAAATGAAGGACACTATTTCAGAAAGTAACGTATTCATTCCAAGAGTTCAAAGACTCGATGAGCAACCCGAATTGGGTCAAAAGTTGATTTATTGTCGAAATCTTAAGTACAAAGATTGTAACTCAGACCTTTGTCATTGTTTTCCGGGGGACACTTATTATAACTATTGCCCTAATATACATATAGGAATACACTCAGATGACGACGACGAAGTGTTTTACTCGGACAACGAAGACGATTCTCGTTTCCCATATCAACTTCATCGCCAAAGATTTAGACGGTTACCACGTTCTAAAAAGATGGAGTTGTTAACTATTTCTTCTAAAAACCACAAAGAAGTGATTCCTAGTCCACCTATCTGTGGAAGTGTGGACATGTTAGCAGACTGGGCTGATAAACTTGTGAGAGAAATTAATGAAACATTTTCAGTAACTGCCCATGATGTTACGAGCGGTCTGGAGCGTGAATGCGACACACATGCTCAAAGAACGAAAAATGTGAAACAGGTGCAGTCAACAGACCCATGGTATTGTTCGTCTCAAAACATGTGTAAATTCAGCCTAAAGTACAATCTGAAAAGTAAATGCTTAGACAGTCTAAGTGTGAAAAGACAATCTTTCAATTCTGTTGACCAAGATTATAGTGATTTTCTGCAACTGAGGTCTCGAAGGTCATCATGTCCTTCATGGAAAATTAATGATGAGAAAACAACTCCCACGGAAGTTCTTGCTTCAAGTTTGAAACCTACTTGTGAAGCTGCAGTCCAAACCAGTGATGCCCATTACTTTCTTCAAAGAGTAACAGGAAGCGATAATGCAAAAATAAACCATCCACGTCTGAAGTCGATGAATGAGGTTGGCGTACAGGCGTGTTTGGAAACTGATCCAGTCAGTGAACGTGAAATGTTAATAGATCGATCATCTGTTCCCTTGGAAAATAATATCCATTTTAAATTGGACTTGAAATTTCCAGCATCACCATCGGCTAGTACTACTAGAATGACGACCACAGAAATTGACACAATGAAGTTTGCTCCAAATAAGGCTAAAGACGTTCTAACAACGGCTTTAGAAAATGATAAACTGTTACTTAATTCAGAAAATGTAGACGTTGGAGGCATTGAAAAGACAAGTGCCTTACGTGCATGCTTTACGAAAGTTGGGCTTCCTGTACAGAACCTTTATGTAGAGGAAGAATTTGATGGCCAGACACAAAGAATTTCTAATGATGAAAAGATCTGTCAAGGTTCACAAAGATTAGAACATTGTAAGTTGAAGAAAAACTCTAGGTTGAATAAGTGTTTAAATGGCGAATTAGAAGTGACACATCCGTCCATGTTGGATTTTAACGGTATAATTGACAATTCACAAAAACACGACACCGAAGGGATTTTTTCTCGAAACTTTGGGGTGCTTTCATTGCAAAATAATACCAAAAATTTTAGTAGTGCACTGATGAAAAGCAAGATTGAAATTTCAAAAACAAAGGAATGGAAAATGGAAAAAGACAAGAAATCAGAAAGTGACTATGACGTTTGTAAGAATATTGAACTTACTCCTGACACGCAAGAACCAATTAAACGGCTGCATCTTTTTGACTTTAGGAAAGAAGAAATAAAACACACATCTAATAGAATTATCATTCCTTCGATTGAAGGTTCTTTGTGTGATAAAAGTAGAGTTTTTCCTGAACACAGGAGCATCCAAGAGATTTTAATCAATTCCATTCCACTTTGCGAAATCGAAAAAACACAAAATGAACTTGTAAAAGGAAAGACGAACAACAATTCGAAAATATTAGAAGTTCGAAATGACTCTACGGATTGCAAGTTGACGTCATTAAAGAACGAAGAAGGCTATTATTCTTTTGAAGAAAAATCTAGAAGAGGCGGTGCTAATGATAAAACACAAGAAACGAGGCACAGTGAAGAAAACGTACAGTCCGAGCTTATCCAGCTTTCAGCGTTTCATGCAAAGCGTTCAGGATCACCTTCAACAGGTTCATGTCAGGTTGTACGTGAGAACTTATCTGTTTTATTAATATTATAAATTATAATTAAAGTTTGTGTTAGTCTTCATGTAAAGCTGTAGACTAAATTCCGACGTTAACATCTACGTACTGAAATGTTTATATGAATATATATATAGGACTATATTAAATTGTCTCCAGTAAACAGATTAAAAGCTGACAGTTTAACAAAATGGTCAAGGTTACAACGATGCCATAATTCTAAGATAATTATCCTGGCCCGACCTCAAAGGTATTAGGTAAGGTAAAGGTGAATTAAGACATTTTTTTGAAATATATTTTTGGACACTGATGGATTTTGTTAAATATCTGACAAGATGAGGTTGAAGTTAATGCTTTTAATTTAGACGGAAATTTAAATAGCAGCGAGACGGAACAGAATAACTTGTTACTCATGATTATTTCTTTTTTTAGACCAGAAATATTAAACGTTGTTTAGTTTGAGAATGATATTGTGAATGTGAGAAATAGGATATGCGTCTGTACGCCATATTTCTGTGAGTGCACGCGTTTTCTGTGACTGTATTTCAAATTTTAAAATAAGTAACATACAGATGTTAATGCATAAATTCGTTTGAACATCTTCGCTTTTGTTTAGTTTTAATACTTTTCCAAATATGTTTCAATAAGATAATTGTAAAAGCTTGAAACATTGAAATATGCAAGTAGATAATTTAAAAATATTAATGTTTCGTTTGTTTTATGATAATTTTGTCCTTGTCCTCGTTGAATAGAGTCACAATGACTTGAAAGATTTCTTGAAAAAAGTGGAAAACTGTGCTTACCTACCACCACCACCAGATGGCCGATTAAGCAATAACACTGATGCACATAAAATCAACGAACAAAACGCTGAAGAAAAAGCATTAAAACGAGAGTCTCCGTCTCATGATGCAAATACCCAAACAACACCTCGCTCATCCAGAAGGTGAAAAACTACCTGAATAACTTTTACTGCTTTTAAAATAATCTGGTTCTGTATCCTCAACCCCTGTCACGAGCAAATAAATATATATATATATAAATAACTAATCGTTATCTTGAAGATATAACATTAAGAACATGCTAAAGACATCTGTAATGAAGATGATTATTCATGGCTAGATGTTAAGTGGTAGCATCTAAATTTACATTAGGTTCTAACCCATATTTTATTCAAATGGAAAGTACTGTAATTAAATGAGCTAATGCACAGTTTTAACCTATCTTCAAATCAATAAAAGGCAGATTGGTCGAACTGAATCGATGATCAGCGAATGAGTTTCATGATTCGGTCTCGTTTCATTCATGAATAAAATAGTACGGTAGGAACTGTTGTCAGATAAACATCAATATTTATATAACTTGTGTGTATGTGTCATTCCGTTTGATCATATATTTACATTAAACAATAACAAAAAATATCAAGTTCTGCCTTTGAAAGAATATTTGTTTTAAGTATATAAAGTATTACTAGATTAGGGATTCAATCCTCAGACGAACGCAGCACAGATAGTCCACTGTACAACTTTGTTCTAAAAGACAAACAGACAAAACCTTGAAAACAAAAACACACACACACACACAATAAGATCGATATTTATTTATTTTTCGTTCTTATCTTTTCAGTTCTGGTTACACCTGGGTTACTGAATGTGACTGTAGTGAATTCGAAGCCTTGTCTCGAACACCAGTAAGTGTAAATCTTTCGAAGGAAAGCTTGCCTTCATTCTCCTCAAGTATTTCCGAAATCTTGTCTGATGTCTCTTCACTTACCGATAGTTTGGATGATCAATCGGACGATGATCCCGAACTCGGAGCTAAATATTTTAAGTTTGAAGAGAACGTTAGCAATAGTAGTTTGTCTCTTTCGGCGTGGTCATTCCAGTCAGAACATGGAAGTGATAGCCTATTATACTATTCGGAGGAATCAGACCATTGTGCTGAGAAGTTAGAAACTAGCATAGTGCCTTCTAGAGACTCACCTGATAGGTTGGAGAAGGGCGAAATACGTACTATGTTTTGTATGAAGGGAAAGGACACCAAATCGAGAACGAATGGTACTAAGCCAAGTAACTCGTATGATCTTCCTACAAAAGCGTATTCGTATTCGGAAATTCACTTAGCTACCATTCGAGACGTGAGCGATAATACACGGGAAAAGGTTTCACAGGCTCATTCGAATCTGAGTTTACCTGAAACAAATCAATTATGGAAGTTGAGCAAGACCACTGAGGAAAACTGTTATTCTATGGCCGAACAAACATTATCCGAACTTCACGAAACTCCGAACATCGTATATCCATCAGTTCGAACAACATCTCCCGTCGAACGAAAGACAGGTAAAGGAAATAACAATGACCAGATAGCGCAATCTTCAACACGTACGAAGCTGTTCCTTCGTAAAATGAACCTCAAGTGTTCTTCAGCACCGGTATTAAGAGTGCAGCACAGCCTAGTGGGGAATAATAATAGTTCAAGGGCTTTGCCAACTGCTTGTTCGTTTCCAAATTATGGCAACTATCTGCAGAATATTAAACAAGAAGAAAATAAGGTAACATATTCGATTTACTGTACATTAATAAGAAAGTACGTCTAATTATAACTTAATAAGACTAGTATTTACAAAATATTCGTGAGATTCTACAGTAGTAGGTACTGCACTTTACAACTCGTAAGTAAAACTATTTTGTTTGTTTAGTGAGTAATGATGTAACCGACTATGGCTGGATAAAACAGTTTTTTTTTATTGGTTTCTCCGTTAAACTTATATCGATTGATTTATGTATTATCTTCTTTTAATCATTAACTTAGTTTAAACTGAGCTTTAGACAATATTTTATTTCTGGACTTGTCCTGTAAGAAGATTAGTTTAATACTAAACATACACAACTTATACGACTGGGTTAAAAATACCACGAACTTACCAAGCTAGATTAACAGTACCATGAATTTGCTAAGCTTGCTTAATAGTAACGCGTAGTTTTTCAAGCTTGGTTCAAAGGTTCATGAATTTATCAAGCTAGTTTAAATGGACCACAAACTTATTAAAATAGTTCAAAAGTGCAGCAAACTTATAAAGGTTATAAATAGCAGGAACCTATCAAACCACACTAAAACTACTACACATTTATTAAGCTACATTATAAGTCCCACGAACCTAACAAGACGGCTGATAATAAGTACCATAATAGTAACAGAGGACTGAATGTATTCATAATTTTAATCCAATCTCTACATACATTATTCTTCTATATACTATTCATGCAAACAAAAATACACTAGTATTTTACACACAAAACACGCTTATTTCTTTTAATTCTCACTTGGTATTTATATGTTTGGTTTTTATTAGGAAATCCGGTATTACACCATAACTTGTGTTTTAAAAGAAACTATTATTTTCGGTTGATAATGTTCATCGTTAGAGAATATTAGAAATTCATGTTAAGTTATAAGTGTACAGAATAACAATACGTAGAATGTTGTGTACAGAATAACAATACGTAGAATGTTGTGTACAGAATAACAATACGTTGAATGTTGTGTACAGAATAACAATACGTAGAATGTTGTGTACAGAATAACAATACGTAGAATGTTGTGTACAGAATAACAATACGTTGAATGTTGTGTACAGAATAACAATACGTAGAATGTTGTCCTTTCTTCCGTAAACGACGATTTTTACTTTATTTAGAATATAACAGTAGGTTGCTTCTACTAGTGTCAAACTGAAAATACAATCAAAGAAATTGAAGACAGGACGGGCTGGTCTTAGTATCGACCAAATTTGTCGAAAGTCCATTGTTATTCAAATCAGGTTAAAGAAATTCACCTTCAACATTTTGTAACATTTCTCACAATTGGACTACGTGCTTTTCCAATACTCCAATTGAAAGAATTGTTGCAAAACTACGAGATGAAGTCTATTTTACGTGCAACATCTTGAACGATTTTTTTTCTGTATTAAAATTATTGTTCACTGATGAAAGAAAGAACTAAAAATAGAAGTTTAGGAAAATAATCATTTGCCACTTTGTGAATATCATATGTGATTTTTAAAAGTATTGTGCATGTTGTTGTAAAATAAAGCCAATACTGTTCACTATAGTAACATCGTAATAGTGGACTAGTTTTTAAAATAACAAATCAAATATATTACGGCTGAGTATACATAATGACTAAATCTATATATATATAGTGAATACAAGCGATTTATCAATAGTTTCATTATAATGCATTCATTTAGAATATCGAAAATATGATTGTTAATTTTTATATGCCTTTAGATCCGGAATTATGAAATAGGAAAAAAAAAAGAGTAAATTTTATAAATGTCTTAATAATTCATATTTTGTTCAACAGATGTCACTACTAAAAGATGTAACACCTAACAAGAATTATCCGATTGAAAACCACATTTTGAAAGCAAATACACTATTCTAAAGAAGAGAATTTATGATTTTTTCTAAATTATTCTATTTACATTCAACAAAATATTCTTACTTAATTTGATCACTGTAGCAACTTACAAACTGCCGTGACATAGAAGCCATTGGTTTCTTAGCGAGATCGATAACGATTGGTGCAAAGAAGCACGTGCTACTTTTACATGTTCGAGCGTATGTTTAACGACACTTCGGTTCGTTACAACAACAGTTAGTCCCCTGCAAAGAACAGCTCTGATTGTATTTTGTTTTTAAAATATTATGTGAACTTAATTAGTTATTTCTATTGACACTGTAGCATTGTTAGATGTGTATTTATTCCAAAATTTGCATGTAAATGTAATAATTATATGTACATACTGTTGATGAGTGATGCATATTTTAAGTGTTCGGTATTTTTTTTTTCGTGGTGTACTTTTAATAAGATTACGATTTTTTATACCTCAGACCAGTGTTTTCCAAACTTTAAATAGCGTCCCCCCCAACTCAGCAAAGTTTCCGTTGTGCCCCCACCCTTCATATTCAAATAATCTTCCTAAGTGATAACTGCAAAATCAACAGTTTCTTTGCATGTTTTTAATCATTTATAAAAATGAAAAAAAAAATTGTAAGAAGTGAGTAAATGCGAGAGCAAATGATGATAATAATAATCTTTAAGACCAAAGTAATAGTTTTTGTTAAGTTACCGTCGTCTCCAACTCTTCTGTATCTCTCATAGTTATTTTTGGGCTCTCCCTCCAAAAGGCCGCCGCCCCCGGCCACCAGTACATGCCCTCCAGAGGAGAACGTTCCGCAATTTGGAAAACACTGATTTAGGCATTGGGAACTCCAGTAGTAATAGTTTTGCTTTTTAAAAAAAAATAATAATAATTCGCACATTTGTTGTATTTGATGCGTTTAAAACAGGAACTTTACTGTAATTTAGTGTCCAAAACTGAATTTCTAAGTGTTAAAAACCACAGTATTTATTTCGACGTTTTAAAAAGTATTATATTTTTATTTTAAAAAATGGTTTATTATTAACAGGTCAAAATATACGTTATTAAATGTTTTTTTTTATATCTATCGATCTAAAGGTGATTGAGTAATTCGAGGACGATTGTTTATGTCCTTTGGTATAAAGGATCGTCATTATGTTTCACTTCTACTATAGATGTGAAGGTAGAAAAGGAGGAATACTTACTAACAGATAGACATTACCTTTGGCCACTTACTAACCGGTAGACATTACCTTCGACACCTTACCAACGGGTAGACATTACCTTTGGTTAGTTTCTAACAGGTAGATATTACCTTTGGTTAATAATGGTTGGAGACGGCTTGAATGGGTAATGAAGAAAAACTTTAATATAAGTTTAACATAACAGCGAATGTACAACGTTTCGACAAAGTTTTGTCATTATCAGGTACAAGTAATTTACACTGACACGGATATATATACAGTATTGAACAAAGAAGTCACATGACCGGAACTGTTGCAAAACTTAGAAGAGGTATCCAGCCACCCTGGGGTGTTGGTTTAGAGTAGGGTTGTTTTGTTCAATTAAGATGGATTTTTCGTTTGTTTATGTTGAGTTCTTTGTTTAAAATGACTGTGTTTTTAATAGATA